ATCAGTGTACAGCCCACCGTCAGTGTACAGCCCACTGTCAGTGTACAACCCACCATCAGTGCACAGCCCACTGTCAGTGTACAACCCACTGTCAGTGTACAGCCCACTATCAGTGTACAACCCACCGTCAGTGTACAACCCACCGTCAGTGTATAACCCACCGTCAGTGTACAGCCCACTATCAGTGTACAGCCCACTATCAGTGTACAGCCCACTGTCAGTGTACAACCCACCGTCAGTGTACAACCCACCGTCAGTGTATAACCCACCGTCAGTGTACAGCCCACTATCAGTGTACAGCCCACCATCACGTCTCTTCACACCCTGGCTAGCCAGCACTTGTTTTCCTTTTTTCTGTTGTAATCTGTTATTAATGCTGGGGTGAGATGATATCTTATTTTTGTTTTAATTTGCACCTCTCTGATAAGTAGCTGTGGTGGCATTACTGGGTGGACTATTCACCTCAAAGTTGGTGGTTCAAACCCACCAAGTGCTCCTCGGGAGAAAGAGAAAGCTGTTTGGGTTTCTGGTAATGGCTAATAATCTGGAGCATTTCTTCATATGCTTGTTCAGTGCCTCAATGTCTTCTTCGGCGAAGGGCCTGTTCATGTCCTCTGCCCATTTTATTTTTTATTCCAGTCAGATAATTTGTCTTTTTCTTGGTGAGGCGTTCAAGTTGTCTATATGTTTCAGAGACCAGTCTCCTATCTGCATTGCCAAAAGTTTTCTCCCCCCCCCCCCCGTCAAGATAATGTCATGTCTTGACAAATCAGAGTCCCTATCAGGTTAGGTCACAAGTTGGGGTACTGAGAAGCGTTGGCTAACTCCTTTCTCCTTCCTATTTTTCCAGTCTTTTGGTAACTGGTTATGGGCAATTAAAATTAGATAGCGATCCCTAAACAAAGTTAATAACGACTTTACTAACATCTGCAAGCTCCTCGTGTTTCCTTCCTTTAGTTCCCCTGCTTTTATTGCCTTAGACCAAGCCATTTTACTGTCTCAGACTCTCATTTCCCTTCACCACCAGGTGTTGGGTCTCTTCTTGGTGTGGCTGTAGGGAAGGGTCAGAGGAGCAGCTCTCTGGTTTTGCTCGTTTGTTTCTACGCACCACATACAACTCTGGATTTAACAGATTCCCCAGTCTAGGGCATGCAAATGCTTCCACAGCAGTAACTTGCTTTCTCTGAGGATTTTCATGAAGGCCTCTATGAAATGTGACTCAGGGCAAAGAATCTATGTTGGTTAAAGATGGCATTCTGACGAGATCCGGGGATCCATCCTGGGAGTTTCCAAGAAGTGGGTGAAGTGTGGCCACAGCGTGGAGGGCTCTGACTGCCAAACATGGGAAGCATGGGCACAAGTGGGAGTGAGCACCTGGGTGTTTTCTGAGCAATCGTGACCCTAGGTGAGTAGAAGCAGCCGAGGATCGATGGGAAGGAAGAAATGCTAAAGATATGTGGACAAGCGAGACTTTTGGAGAGTCAGGTGAAGTGGGACACAAGTGTTCACTCACAAAGACCATCCGGAGTGACCCAGACCCACCAGCTTATGACGACAGCTCAGACATAGCCCAGTGGCTGATGCCACCACTACACTGTTTTCCAGTTGTGTGTAACATCTCGCTGACACATGAGTACAGTCTCTTTCAAAGTAAGGGAACGGGAATAAAATGTGAATCAAAAGAACACTTTATCACTCCCTCTCCTTTCCCCTGTAACACTGTTGCAGTCTAATCAGCAATTCTGGCTTGCCCGAAGACAAATCTTCACACTGTCTCCTTCCACTCATGCTGACTCTGATAAGACTTGATGCAGTGTTCCCTGTCTGGAGACACCTTAGAACGGAGTAGTAAGGCAGCAGACACAGTTGCCAAACTAAAAAACAGTTGTGATTTGAAAATTCATCCTTCCTGGAGGAGCATTAGCAGATACTTTCAACCGTGGCTGAGCCTCATTCTCTGAATAGCAGGGGAGATGAAGGAGGTTCACGAATCTCTTTAGTGGACTCTTCTCCAAGTCTATGCATTATTGTCGGAGGTACCTAAACATAATGGGAGAGTCTTGCCCTGAATACAGCACAGTGAGCAGGTTAAGGATATTCACAAATCTGCCCCATGGGAACCCACAAAGCAGTAGCATCTTACCACACAGATAAGGCTGCTGTGGAGAAAGGAACATGACCTAGCTACCATACTGCCGGGGAGGACTGCTGTTGACTATCCGGTAAGAAGCCATACAAATAGCCACATGCTAGGATCTCCAGACTCAGATCAGAAGACTGATGAAATAAGTGGAGATAACCCCTAGATATTGCAAGGCTTGTTAGCTCATGCCAATGCCATTCTCTTTTCCTCTAGCAAAATGTTAAGACGATTAAACAGAATGCCTTTTTTAAAAACAGAATACTTTTTAAACCTAAAAGGCCAACTTTCTAAAGCTGGAGCTTGTTAAATTACTCATTATGTGAGTTTTGGAACAATAGGACTTGCATAAATGTACTCCGGTGATGGAAAAATGCCACAAACTGCCCGTATTATTTAAAATTACAGTAAAGCATGTAAAACACGGGGTTTCTAAGAGGGAAGGAAGAAGGTGGCTTAGTAAGTAAGGGCTTGGCTGCTGAGTGAGTGGTCATGAGTTGGAACTGACTCAATGGCACACTACAAGAGGGAAAAACCAGATACTCAAATAAGGCACAAAGGTTTTATTTGGATTTTCATTAAATTTGGAGGAGAGGCTTCTGGTGTTTTGATTTAAAATGTTGCTATGGAATAGAAAGGAAATGCAGTCGAGTGACTGCCAGGTAGCTAGGACATAGACAAGTCTCCTACATGGAAGTTGCAGATTCTAATTTGCCAAAAAGTCAGTCATGTCTATGTGATACCCTTCAGAGTGAGTGAGTATCAGAAGAGATGGCTCCTTATTCTCTTGAGCATAGATGGCATGGCTAACTAGTGCATAGGCATGAGTAGTCATATGACTGCTTAGTATTCTATGCTGTGACTGCTGAAGATCTATCACAGGATGAGAGTAATGTCAATAGTTTTCAAATCCATCATTAATGAGAGACATCATGCAAAAGGTCAGGGGTTGAGTACACAAAATATTTCATAAGGAGAAAATTAAGATTTTTTTTTCAAAGAGAAAAGCAGGCATTAAAGTTCCATAGCACATGTTATCATTTTAAATTCATTACACATTTTCAGTTTTGCATCATAGCTCTGTCCTAAAGTCCTGTTTTAAGTTCAAATAGAAAACACATGCATTAATGCTATTCTGTAGAAAGAGATCGGCATGCGTTGTTTTCTTGATTATCTGTTGTCTAATCTCCTCAATTTTGCAGTGTATTGCATATAAGGTTGAAAAGCTCTTATTTGTACTATACAGAATCTTTATCATTCCTTTTATAATGAAATGAAACCATTAATTTTCCACCAGAGTTATCTATTAGAAACGGAGAGGTTACAGTTCTACTTAAAAATCCACCATGTCTTCAGTTGACAACACTTGCCAACTGTCATTTTAAGTAATATTTCAGAATGCTACCACTAAGAGTACTCAGAATAGTTGTATTTCCAAGGAAAATGCATAGAAATTTTTTTTTTAAAAAAGACTGAGGATGGCAGACAAATAGAAGTACTTTCTCTGAGTTTCAAATAAACACACTTAATTAAATCCGGCATTATGTAATTTCTTTTTAATCCTAATTCATTTTATTTCTCATAGAAATTTCCCTTCATACCCATGAGAGCCAATGTGGAATATCGAGTGATTCTTGGTGTTAGTTTGCTTTGGTGCTAAATCAAATTGATCCCAATAAATCGGCATCAATTTGATGGCAGTGAGTTGAGTTCCCTCCCTTTCCCAATGGGAATGCCCTAAAGCACTAATTTTGTCTTCAGATCTTTTGATTCCCCAGCTCAGAGGAGGCATCCAGTGGGTCCTCCCCAAATGTGAGCTGATGAGATGAAGGAGACTGAAGAGATATAGGTCCACAGATCCTGTTTTAACGGGCTCCAACACAAGCAGTCCGCGGAGTCAACGCTGGTCTTTTATCATGTGCCCTCCACTATCTGCAAGCGACCCAGATAACGGAGAAAAGCCAAGATGTCCTTTGACCTCAAACAGCAACCCCGACAGTCAAAATAAAATACTTCGCATTTCAAGCGGTACCATGGCTAACTGGCTTCTGAGACGCAGCATTTTGAAAAGGTAGCTGCAATTGAAAGCACATTTGCTTTATGGCTCAGCAGTTTCCACTCTGGGAATTGAATCTCAGAAAAAGCCTGTGACCTTCCCAAGGCTGCTCACCCAACCAGCACAATCCGAGGGGGCAGGTGAATCCAATTCATGGAAGCCCAAGATTTTGAAAAAGCGTTCCTGGATGCTGTTTTGTCAACAGTGACTGTAAATGTAAGCGTAGCGGAGTGGAATTGCTTCATAAGTTCCTAGGACTTTAAATCTTTATAAGACCAGACAGTCTCACCTTTCTTCCATGGAGTGACTGGTGAGTTTGAACCCCACACCTTGTGGGCAGCAACCCAGTGCTTATGTCAGGGCTTCCTGAGCCTTCCAAATGCTACTGTGTTTTCAAGGCAACAGGAGATATCCCTCAATAAGAATACTAAGGGATATTCCAAACACTGGAAAGGGCGGCACTGACTCTCTTACTGTGGACTCAGAGCATAGGTTTAAGTCTGATTATGTCTTACCTTAAACACATTGATAGGCAGATCAATGACCACATAGATAAGGTCTCCAAGGGCAAGGCTGGCTATCAGCGCGTTGGGGCCATTCCTCATGCACTTGTTCTGGTAAATGATCCTGAGCAGAGTTGCATTCCCCACCATTCCCACGATGAAAATAGTACAAGATATCACCGTGGTAATGTATTTGAACACTGAAGTAATTTTAGTCTGCTGTGGGCAGTAGCTGTGCACGGAGCTATTGCTTGGCAGGGCCAAATTAGTTGGTCGATGGGTGGTGACCAGGAGGCTGAGCTCTGTCCCACGAAAAGTGGTGAAATCGTCCACACTGTCACTTAGATTGGTGTTGTATCTCTCAGGATTATCACTGAGCACATAGCCAAACATCACCAGCCAGAAGGTCACCTGAAGGCCAAAGGTTTCCATCCCAATGCAGAGTTGAGCAAATGTCTTTTACGTGCAGTTAGGTTTACAGCTCCCTCTTAAATTTTTTTTTTCTTTTCAAACCTGGAAAAAGAGAGGAGAATAATTTTGGTTATAAAATCCAACATCCAATAAGATCAATTATTAGGTACAGCCTCAATGAAAACACCGGATAGATTAGGTAAACTCCATGCCCGGTGACCCTGGGGCAGAACAACGCCAGAACAGACCAGAGTTCTACTGGGTAGATTCTATTTCTCTATCATCTCATTTCTAATTTGTTAATAAAATAGATAAGCATATATCAGTTTTTCCTTCAAGTATTAGATGAAAAGAATTCCCCCCACACACTTACAATAATCTAAGTTACAAAAACTACACAAGATAAGATATATTTTATTTATTAATGAAGGAGAAAGGCCCTCAATGCTGAGTGGAAAATGTATAGTGTTAAAGCATAGCATAAGATGATAAAAATGCATAGCGAATTTAATATTCGAAAATGTAGGTTGTTTTTCATATGGCAAATAATGAATACAGGATCACAATGCACCATGGGTAATCATTTAATGTGTTTCTGAAGGCTAATTAAAAATTAACAATGACAAAATTGATAGTCAAAAATAGCAGCGGGCTTCAAAAAATTTGTGGACAAATTCTATTATTTTAAAATTCTATTTTACCATGAGCTTTTCGAAATTCCCTTGTACTTAAAGTTACTTTACTGCTCCTAGCAGGAATGTTTAATTTTCTCTTGCTAAGAAGTAATCATCATTATGTTTGTCAAGGTGCGAAACAACATGGACGGAGAGTAATGACCTTACACAGGCTATCATACTATTTGATTTTCCAAAGAGTATTCATCCCCATGGTATATCTCAAACACCCTATATAGCTCCATTCATTACATTTCACCCAGACAAGGACACTCTGAAGTACATAGGCATGCCATTATAACCTTTGGGAAGGAGGCTCAGAAAGGTAAAGTCGCTTCTCAAGGTCATAGGTGGTGGGTGGCAATGCTCTGATGCTATGTCAGGTCAGCCTAACTCCAGAGTCTAAGATCTTAATAATTCATTCATATTCTCTCTTATTCTTGTCTCGTACTAGCACCTACAAAGTTTTATGGAAGTCTCCAGAGTTTAGATGAAGCAATGGATTCAGCAGGGTGGCTAACATTTGAAAGGATCATCTTTTTTTCCTCCCCTAAGACTGGGTTTTCTACTTCTGTAACCAGTTACAGTCTCAGAAACCCACGGGGCGTTGCTATGAGTCAGCACTGACTCGATGGCAGTGAGTTTATTTGTTGTTTGGAAGAAGTCTAGGTTTTTCTACTTTCATCCTTAAAAATATGGTCTTGGGAAAGCAAGGCAAGTTGGTGGTAACAGAATAATCAAAGGTAAATAAAAGCGGTTCTTGCCATTTCAATATTTTGTAAATTTCATTTACCATCATGATTTCATATGAAAGCCGCCATGGATGTGTGTATGTCATGTATATCAAGTCCATAATTTATTTAATTAAAAAAAGTTACAGTGATTTTTCTGAGCCTAGTAACCACCCTGGTGGTATAGTGGTTATGCATTATGGTGCAACCTGCAAGGTCAGCAGTTCAAAACTACCAACTGCTTTGAGGGGGAAAGATAGGGCTTTCTACTCTTGTAAAGAGTTACAGTCTTGGAAACTCACAAGGTCCATTCTACCCAGCTCTAAAGGGTCGCCACAAATCAGAATTGACTCAATGGCCATCGTTATGAGTTGGCATTGACACAATGACACTGAGTCTGTATTTTTGGCTTTATTACATATAAATATAACGTTACATAGGCAACTGGCTCTCTGAGCTTTACAACCCTAAATCGGTAGGCAGGTAGGGGTGACAGTTCACTTTTACTCATGAGTAAACTGAGCCTTAAAGTGTTACTTGGTCAAGGTTGCAACAGCTTCCGTGGACACTAGTTGATGTTGAGTAGATGCCAACTCACATGTCCCAGAGGAGACTGTGCTCCACCCAGCGTCCAATGGCTGCCTTTGCAGAAGCAGACTGCCAGGCCCCTCTGGGGAACCGACAGCTCCAGCCTTTCGCTTACCAGCTGAGCATGTTTACTGTTTGCATTGGCCCAAAGGGGCAGGGTGACTAGACGTGTAGCTTCACTGTATTTACAGCACTTGACTCTGTCTGATTCCATGATTAAATGGTTAATTTTTCAAGCTAGGGCATACCATGTGCCTGCCACTCCTGTCTACATTTCCTAATAACTAGTTGGTCATTTTCCTCAGCTGCGACTTACAATTGGGACTAGCTGACTGAATATTGATAAACCCAAACCTCATTGCCATCTAGTCAATGTCCACTCAGAGCAACTCTTTAGGGCAGGGTTGGATTGCGTCTGTTCCCAAGACTGTAACTCTTTACGGGAGTGGACACCCTTTCTTGTTACTCAGAGGGGCTCGTGGGTTTGAGTTGCAGACCGAAAGGCTAGCCACCCAAGGCATAGCCACTACTCCACCACAGAATGCATACTTTCCATTACAAAGAAGAGTTCAAGACTATTTTGATCCTTCTCTGCAGATCACAGATATGAAAGAATAGACGGACTTGCATCTCATGCTGTGTAATGACCAACACCCCACTTCCTCAGGGTTCCACAATCAGAGCGGAATCACCCATAGCAGTTTCCTCTAAAAAGAGAGAGGGAAGGTTTTTCCAGAAAGGGAGCCCTGGTGAGGTTACGCATTGGGCTGCTAATCCTAAGGTCAGCAGTTTGAAATCACTGAGGGAGAAAGACCAGACTTTCTACTCTGGTAAATGCTGACGGTCTGATTTTGGCCTATATGGTCGCTAACGAGTTGGAATCAACTCAAAGAGGGTGAGTTTGGTTTGTTTTTTGAAGGCAAGATTCAGTTACTTGACCCGACTTTTCTGGCTATCACTCCGATCATCAAAAGTGTTCTATGTATTTTGACCTATGGCAGGATGGTTTGCTTGGTTAGCTGAGTACAGCCAAGCTACGGAGGACCAAGGCTGTGGGTTCTTATCATGACACGAGCCAACCAGTGATACAACCACCTAACTTCTTCCTTTAACAACGATCCGACCATAGCAACAATTTCTGATGACATCCGCTCCAACTTTCTACACAGATGAAGCTGCAAAACGAATGGGTGAAATATAGAAAACAGAACAAAAGCCCTCTCAAGTACATACTCCATCAAGAATGGGGAGTTAGCTTACAGGGACGGGTCTCTCTATCAAGATGTGCTTCCAATCACCAGTCATAATCAATCATAGTTCTTGGGAAGCATCTACTGTTTAGACTGAACAACACGGCCTACAGATTCAGCATTTCTCATATTTTGGGGTGTGGGATGAGGGATGGGTTGTCTAAAAGTTTGCTGGAGTTCAAAACCTATTATTAATAATGAGAATAAAAAACCAGAATGAGGCGGAATCTTTATGCTTATGCTTAAAACATTAAACAACATCTTCGATTCTCTGAAATAAAGCTCACTTGGAATTAGTCAACATGAAATGCGTTCTGAGCAGGGAATTTACTTGCCAGGATTGCCAAGGTGTTTCTAAATTAGCTAACATTTACAACAAAGGAGTGAGAGGGAAAAAGGATGTAAGAGGGGAGAGAGGCCAGGGGCTCGGCAGACACTACAAATAACTACCAACCAGACGCAACTCACTGCCTCGAGTCACTACAGACTCACAGCGACCCCCGAGGGTTTTTAAGACTGTATCTGTCTGCTGGAGTAGAAAGCCGAGTCTGTCTCCTGCGGAGCGGCTGGCGATTTTGAACTGCCCACCATGCGGATCGCAGCCCCCCGCTTAACCACGATACCACCAGGGCTCCACAAATAACTACAGGAGGGGAAAAGACAAGAAAAGTGTTTTGATTGGGGCGGGGGTGGGGTGTAGAAATTACTAGCTGCCCTGGTAGAGGAAGCATAGAAACTTTAATATGTCCCTGGAGCCCCAACTGTACCCGGGGAGGGCCATCCGAGACGTGGCGGCTCACATAGGAACTGCTGCCCTGCTTTTCTGCGCGTGAAAGGCAACAAGTGCCATGGAAAGGAGTGAGCAACTGAACAAAACGTCTAGACCTCGGCTGGCAAGGTGCCCACACTGTTGGCGCTGGGAGTTTTCTAAGACATGTTCCCTACACCGAGTGCGCTCGGCTACCCTGGGCGCATCCCGGGGTGTGGAGAGCTGCCGGGCAGCCGAGTCAAACCCACCACTGGGCTTTGAAGCCGGCGACGCCACCCGCGGGACCTTCCAAAAGTTCCCTGCCCGCCTGGGGCGGACCCAGCAGAACTGTTGGTTTTCCCCTTCTTAAAAGGCAGAATCCCGTGCGCGGAGGCGGCGGTCCCCCAACCCCCCAAACGACCTTGGTGCGTCCTCCTGCCCGGGGAAGCGCCTGCCCGCCTGTGCGCCCGGGCACAGGTGGGTGCCACCTGGGCTCTGGTGGGGCTCCTGAGCGGCAGCACCCAGTTCCGTTCTCCCCTCGCCCCACCCGAGTCCCCGCCACTGCGACCCCAGCCGAGTGACCATCACCGCCACCCCAGCCGAGTCCCAGAGGCAAAGAGCTTCACCAACCGTGGAGCGGGCCGGGCGCAGACGATGCCCGGTGCGCGCTCGGTGCCTGGGCCGGAGACGCCGGGTCGGACCGGAGGGTGACGCGGAGGGTGGCGGATGTCCCCGCGCCGGCGCGGCCCCGGCTGCCCAGCTGCCTCTGCTTTGGAAAACTTCGCTTGCTCGGCTTCTCTGCGGAGGTCTGCGCCTCGCCACCACCGCCAGACCAAAAGGATTGACTGTGTGTGTGTGTGTCTGTGTGTGAGTGCGCGCGCACACACGAGGGCTGGCAAGTAAAAGAAAACTCCAGATGAACACGCCTCCAGGCTGGGCTCCCCTCGGCCTCTCGGAGGAACTCCTGTCCCCTCCTATCCCCTCCAGGACAGCTTTGCAACAGTTGGGCCAGCCTCTATATAGCGTGGAGCGGCCGCCCCCCTACTCAGGCCCGGGGGCAGGAGTCTTAACTATTTCCTCTCTGAAATCCAAGTGGGATGGGGAGTTGGGGGAGAGGTGAAGGGAGAGCAGTTGAACAGAAAGGGTCTGGCTTCAAGAAAACTGTGCACACTAACCTTGATCTCTGGTGGAGCCAGAAGCTCTCTCTCAGCAAGTAGACTGACAAACTAGACAGTCTATTTCTGAATCCAGCATGCTTTGCTTCTGTCTTGTTCCCTTATGCCCAAGTTCCCGGACACGGGACTAGCCCAGGAGGATCTACAAGGGTCCAGTCTGTGGCTCAGTGAAGCTGAGATGCCTCAAGAAAGGAAACCAGCCAGGACAGCATCCTTCATTGGGTGGGTCTCGGTATCTTTAGCATAAGAGTTTCATCCTGGGGCAAGGAGAAGCTCCGAGTGGGAGAAAGCATGGAGGTCTTCCCCGAGGAAGGTCCTGCCAGAGAGTGCCCTGCTGGCGTCCAGCCTGTTGTGGAGATAGGAGATTGGAGGCCTGGTCTCATTATACAACATATTCTCTTGCCTGTTTCTTTCACTGAAGAGATCACCCTGAAAATGTACTCACTGCCATGGAGTTGGACAGTGCAGAACTGTCCCGTGGGTTTCCCAGACTGCAGCTGTTGCCAGGAGTAGAAAGCCCTGTTTTTCTCTGGCACCGCACCTGGTGGTTTCCACCTGGGGACCTTGTGGATCACAGCCCCACATGTACCTCTATGACACCAGGGCTTCTGGTGAAAAACAAGAACAATTGTCCTAGCTGATATGCACGTTCAGCGGGGTTTAGCTGGGTCAGCTCATCTTTGCTCCATCATCAGCCAGCCCTGGAAGAATCCATTACACAGAGTTAGTATTTCCCCACATGGGTCTCCAGCAAGCTGGTCGGCGCTTCCTCATAGTATGGTGGCAGAGTTCCAAAAACCAGTGTTCCAGCAGACAGGATGCAGAAGCTGCCAGTTTCTTATGGTCTTGGCTCAGAAACTGGCAAAGTGTCCCTGCTGACCAAGGCTGTTAGCCAAGGAGCCACAGGGCTTAGCTTGAAGATGAGCAGACATGGACACCACCTGTTAATGGGAAGAAAGTCAAAGAATTTGGGGGCCATTGTGTAAAACCATCAAGGAGATCCAGAGAATACCATTATTGAATGGGCCATCAGTAATCATTTAATTTTATTGAACTAGATATTAGCCTGTGCATTGATCTGGTCTATCTATAGCTCCTTCGTGGGGGGAAGTCAGCTATCCAGGATCACCAATAGCTTGCAAAAGCGGCGCAGTTTGAATTTTACACAAAGCTGGTCTTTGGGTAGATGGGTCGGCAAGTTGACAACATTTTCCAGGGAAAAGTGTATCTATCCTCAGGACTTGGGGTGTGCAATATGTGCTGCGTTTCAGACCTGGTTTACCTGTAACTAGACACATCTGGACACATAGCCTGTACAATGGAACATGCCAGTCTGTTCCACTTTTACTAGATCACACCCATCAGTCCCTATATCCAGTGACAACTCATCTCACAGTAGTGCAAGTCCCCAAACTCTAAAACCAGGCTCATTGCCACTTGGTGGATTCTGACTCAGAGTGGCCCTATAAGACGAAGTAGGATGGCCCTTTGGGGTTCCAAGACTGTAAATCTTTATGGGAGTAGACAACCTTATTTTTCTCCATTGGAGCGGCTGGCGAGTGGCAACCACTGACCTTGTGTTAGCAGCTCAGTGGTAGCTCACTACACCATCAATGCAAATCTAGTTACTAAAAATTCTTACCTGGAAGACATCATGATGAAATCTGTGCCCTTGTAGGAAATGCCTTCAAATACAAGTCTGTTTATGTGAATTTAAAGCTGCCTTTGGGAGAGATTGGGCTGTCTCACTTTAGATGAGAGCAACATCAACGTTTGTTTCTGGAGCTTTAAGTTGTCAACTTCTCTGGGGAAATTGATCTCAGTGGATTCCAACCAGTTTTCAGCCAAGCTAACTGTGCCCACAGTAATATCTTTCCCCAGAGCCATGGTTTTATATACTTGCTTTGTCTCTGTTTTCCCTTCTTTGTGATTTTAATGAACATCAGTTGTATGTATTTGACTAAACTTTCAGCCCGACTTCCAAGGTTTATTTCTTTTCCTAGGAAGGTAGGTTGGATGTAGCTTGGCAGGTCTTCTGGATTCGTGCCTGACTTTCTTGATGGCACGAGCCTTCTGGCTCAAGTAGCTCAGTAAGTGGAGTGTTCCTGTAAGGACAGTTACATCGACTTCTTTCACCATTAGATGATCATTATTGATTTCCTAAAAAAAATAATTGCCCAAGATTAAGATGTATGCAAGCTAGCACTTAAAAACCAACTTTTTATGGGTCCTTGGGGGCAAGTGTTCTTTGAAATTTACATTTTTGGGTTAGAATTTGCAAATCAGTTCCATTAAATGCTATCACCCAAGCACGTGGAAATACAGCAGAAGTTCAGAGCATCAGTGTTTGCTAGGGATTGTTGGGACTCCCTGGGGAAAATGGAACATGAAGGGTCAGAGAACCACAAAAATAACAGAGGCTTGGGAAGCTGGGTGTGGTAGGAACTGGGAAATGCACCATACAGACCAGAGCCTGCTTCTACTGCCGCCACACTCGCAGTGCTGTGGCCAAGGTGTTTCGTTTGCAGCCGGTGCCATTGACCCTGAGAAGAAGCAACAAGCTCAGTGAGTGGAAGTCACATTTAAAATGTTAAACAAAACGTTTTGTTTTCAAAAGGAAGTATTCCAAAATGTTAGGTTGTTAATATGCTGCTAAGGATTCTGAAAGGTTTTCTCACACAAACACATTTGTACAGGGCAGTTAACGTCCCCGGGTTCTTTCATCAAAATCTATCCTTGCAGAGAGGCGCACAATGTTTTGTTAACTGCTGGCAGCTCCATTCAAGAGTTGCGCTGTTTCAGCATCATTGATGATGGGACAATTCATGCAAATGTTGATGGGGATTGGTGGTGGTGGTGGTGGGTGATGTGAAGTCAGTGCCAACTCATAAGGACTCTACATACAACAGAGTAAAACACAGCCGGTTCTGCGCCATCCTCACAATTACTATTATGCTTAAGCCCATTGTTGCAGCAATGAATGTCTAGCTGTCTTCATTGAAGGTCTGCCTCTTTCCCCCTGGTCCAAAGGAGGATTGGTACTGTTAATATGCTGGGCCACCAGCTGAAAGGTTGGAGGTTTGAGTCTACTCAGAGGCATCTTAGGAGAAAGACCTGATGATAGAAATAAAAATCAGCCATTGAAAAATCTGCAGAATATATTTCTACTCTGACACATACAGGTCTACATGAATTGGAATCAACTTGAGGTCAATTGGTTAGTATAATGTGATGATGTATTCCATATTTCATACAATCAAAATTTTCATTTGAATATAATTAATTCTTTAGTTGTAGCTTCAAGTTCCTAAAAGATAGAGGCAAAATGAATGTCAAATGAGTATTATGAGAAAAAGACAAATCTGGAAGATATGAAGTTTTATCACTGCTACTGAGTCGATTCCAACTCATAGGAGCCGTATAAGACAGTGCATGAAAGCTGATAACCTCATCTTTGTCCCGCAGAGCCGCTGGTGGGTTTGAACCTCCAACCTTGTATGAGTGCTAGCCCAACAGTGAACCCACTACACCACTCATGCTCCTTAGTACAGCAGTTGTGAGTATTAAAACATTGATTGAATTGATTTTTAAATGGGTGAGTTGTAAAGTATGTCAATTATATCTCAAGAAATCTTCTTGCTATGTTAAAATCATATAATTTTATATATATAGAAAATGTATACTATATTTTGAATACTATCAAAAGGTATAAAGGACTTCATTACTGAAAATGAAATAAGGCTGATGATGTTTCACAGGACAGTTAATCTTGTTTCCTCAACAAGTCAGAAGCAATTGAAAAAAGACATTTTTTTTTTAGCTTAAAAGAGCCCTAAGGACCACAACAACTAGATGTAATGCAAAGTTCTGGATCAGATTGGATAAATCACTGTAAAGGATATTTTTGGGAAACCTGGGAAGAATTGAATTTGAGCTCAATATTAGATGTGGTAATAAGTTATTATTAATTTTATAAATGTGATTGTGAAAATACTATTTCAGACACATAGGATTTTGTACTATCATTTATCATGCTCTCATCATGTACCAAGCTTTTAGATATTTTTCATCCTTTCTTTTTGATCTTTATTTAAATTATTTTTGTTCTTGAATTTCAAGTTCACTACTTGAAATTAATGTGGAGCTCTGTAGAACTCTCTTGGAAGACAGCTACTTGGCCAACTGACTGGAAGAGATCTATACTTGAACTCATTCCAAAGAAAGGTGACCCAACAGAATGCTCAAATGACAGAACAATATCACTGATATCACATGCAAGTAAAAATTTTTGCTAAAGATCATCTAACAACGGTTGAAGAAGTACATTATCAAGGGCTGCCAGAGGTTTAGGCCAGATTCAGAAGAGGATGTGGAACGATGGATATCATTGCTGATGTCAGATGGATCTTGGCTGAAAGCAGAGAATAGCAGAAAGATGTTTACTACTTGTGTTTTACTGAGAAAGCTGATGACCTCATCTGCCCCGCAGAGCCGCTGGTGGGTTTGAACCTCCAACCTTGTATGAGTGCTAGCCAGGAGAAAGACCTGGTGATAGAAAGAAATCAGCTATTGAAAAATCTGCAGAATATATTTCTACTCTGACACATACAGGTCTACATGAATTGGAATCAACTTGAGGTCAATTGGTTAGTATAATGTGATGATGTGTTCCATATTTCATACAATCAAAATTGTCTCATTTGAATATAATTAATTCTTTAGTTGTAGCTTCAAGTTCCTAAAAGATAGAGGCAAAATGAATGCCCAAGGCTTTCAACTGTGT